AAATGCTTTTGCTACAAAAAGAGCTAGTAAGACAGTAGTTTAACCAAGTATAGATGACATGATCTGTTACCACTGCTGGGCACACTATGTGAGTACTAGTGTGATCTAAGTATGTGAGTACCAGTGTGATCTAAGCTTGTGAGTACCAGTGTGATCTAAATGTCTGAGTACCAGCATGATCTAAGTGTGTGTGAGTACTGGTGTGATCTAAGCATGTGAGTACCACTGTGATCTAAGCATGTGTGTGTGTGTGGGGGGGCACATGAAAGAGTGAGTTGTTGAGTTTATGTGCATGTGGTTTCTTTTTGTCTACATACTTTGTTGTCCAGATGCAAATTTTGTCTGTATTAGGGCACCGTTTTTCTATTCAAGAACCATCTAATATTGTTTATTAATTTGTAGACATGTCTTGCAAATCGGTGGGTATTATTTGACAATTGTCTCCAAAGGTAAAACATATCTTGAGGTTTATTTTTTACTTTAGTCACAATCATAATAGGCCCATTAGAAAAATTTAACCCATCTGCCCCTGATCCCATGGGCATCCTGGCTGATCTCAGTTGACTAAATAATGCAAGTTTCAGACCCTATATCATACCATCACTCTAAAATTGTAACATTACTGTGACTAGCATGGCAAAGTTAAACACAATAATACTGTATTAGTTGAATAGACTTTCTAGTTTTGTTCATATTCATTCCCTTATGGTTTTCAAACTTTATAAGATAAAGTTATAACTATCAAAGTTTTATTTTACTAAATAAATGTATGTTATACTAAATTTAATGTTGTTTGAACTTATATCTAGGCTACTTGAAGAATATTCAAAAATACTAGGTTTTTACTTTGCTAAGTACACATTTACCTATTAAATAAAATGAATTATGAGTATTCTTTCCCCTTGCTTAATTACAAAGCATTTGAGAACTGAGTTATAAATACAACTCTTAATCTTGCAATATGTTGTAAACATACTTATGAACATGTAGAGTATCTGGAGTAATAAGTTAGGAAAATTGTACACAGTATTGTGGAAACAGATGACTCATAAGTGAATATATCTTGTATTGTTTCTGTATGTATTATTAAACAAGGCAGTTGTGTAACTTATTGTATGTTACATTTTAATGGGCAAAGTTTAAATTTTTAAAAAGTAACTTATTTGTAAATGATTGTACCTGAAGTTTGAAGAGAGAGTTTTCTCTAGTATTTCATATTTTTGTCACCACTGTTTTTAAGACACAAATTTAATGTCAATTGTATATGTTCTTTCAACAATTTTAACTCACAAGTATTTTAGAATAGATATTTTGTCATTTTGACATTTGTTTAGTGTAATTTGTGAATAAAAATGAACAAATCTCATATTTTTATTTTTGAACAGCTGTTAAGAGTTTTGCCTGTAAACAATGCACTTGCTGATTTAAAAAAAAAAATTCTACCCATCCCAAAGTGTAACTTTATTTTTTCTGAGAGCCTACCACCCATTGAGAATATATTATCTATTTCTATAAATATTATAGATAATATTATCTATAAATGTAAGTTAGTCATGTGCTTGCTTTATTAAGTAAAACTTCATTTGATCCTAATATGCATGTTATCCACTGCATGTATAGAATGTCTGAATCTCAGTTTTATACAGTCCAACTTGTTTGGTTTATCATTAGGTACAAAGATAAATTTCAGTCGAAGTTAAACGTTTGTAAAAGCAGCATTAAAGAACATTTCACTTGTTCATTGTGATACAGAAATCATACATAACTGATAGAAATGGTAAAAAATAATTAGAAAACCATCTGCTTGTTGGAGTGAATCTCAAAAGTATAGCAGGTGTACTTATACACTTAACATAAAGTTATTAATTAATAGGATTACACTTACAAGCCTGTCTGAGGAAGTTTTCAACACTTATTAATAAATACCACATATTGTAGCAAGTCAATTTTTATTGTATTGTTTGTTGCCACTGGCTGGTAAACATATGCAACTTTTGGTTATCCCTATGATCACGGTATGCATTTTATAAAACCTAACAGAGCCTCTGTTACAAATCTCTGAAACTTACACATTGGAAGTTATGGTAGTCATCAGTTAAAATGACTTATCATACTACAAAATTCTACATTTTCTTTTAATATGTAATCAAATATTTGTATGTCATTGATACCTACATTCCATTAATTCACTTTATATCTTGTCTGTTAAAAAAATGTGATTTGGACTTAATAGCACGTTGCACAAAGCTTATCTTGAGCTTGCAGCTACATCTAGTTTACTATTAATACAGTGATGTACATTAAAATATAGTATTCTGTGATTACAACATTATGTACTGACTGATCAAGAGTTTATCTTTGTTAATCTACACTTAGAAGACAAACATTGGGCTTAATGTGGACTTTTTCAGTATTGTTCATAAGATCTATTTGAAAATTTCATTTTTGTATCTAAACATAAACCTTTATGGTTTATCGAAGAATAAAATTTAAACAAAAGTAGTATCATTTTTTTCAGTGAATGTTTTAAAAGAGAGCTTGGGTTAACATTAGAGTTGTGCAGTTAAATCAATTAATGTCAGAAAAATAATAAATTAATTTACCCCTGAAGAAGAAAGGTTCACCTTTCGAAAGTGCTAGGGTTATAAGGTATCATATCTTTGTGTTGAACTAATTGAAAATTTATGTTTCTTATTATTACTGTTTTCAGTTATTCCAACTATCCAGTGATCAAAATTATTATTCAATCAATTAATGTCAGAAAAATAATAAATTAATTTACCCCTGAAGAAGGAAGGTTCACCTTTCGAAAGTGCTAGGGTTATAAGGTATCATATCTTTGTGTTAAACTAATTGAAAATTTATGTTTCTTATTATTACTGTTTTCAGTTATTCCAACTATCCAGTGATCAAAATTATTATTCAATCAATTAATGTCAAAAAATAATCAACTAATCAGAATTAGTATTTGTGATTATTACTATTTTCAATTACTCCAACTATCCAAGTAATCAAAATATAGCCATTAAAACATTTTGTAGTAAAACAAAATCTACACAATGGGCAGTATATGCTCTTCTCAAAGCAGGTATCAAACCCAACATTTAGCAATCTTATGTGAAAATCATCATCTGCTTGTTGCTGCTCCACCCAGAAGATTAGCTGTCATGCCCGTCTGTCCTGTGCCTTCCTCACACAATCACTGTAGCTAGACTGCAGCCACTCCATGACGTCTGTGACCCATTTTCTCTGTGGTCAACCTCTCTTCCTACAGCCTTCCACCTTGCTCTCTATAAAAGTTCTTTGAATCTTATTTATTCTGATAATGTATCTAAAATACCGACACTTTCTTTTTTTGGATGTTTGCTTTTAGTGTTTGCTTTGTTTTGGCCATTTCCAATATTTCCTCATTTGTTTTATACTCTGTATATGATATTTTCAATATTCTTCTAAGCATCCACATTTCCAACTCTTGTAATTTGTTACAGAGTTAGTTGGTGTCCAAGTCTCAGCAGCATATAGAAAAAATGGATAGTATATAACATTTCACAAGTTTCTTCTCTGTCTCCAACTTATTGTTTCTTGTGGTAGTTAATACATCTTTCATATGGAAGAAATTTTGTCTTGCAATTTCTATCCATCTTTTGACTTCTGCCTCACATATACCATTTTAAATTATTAGTTGCCCCAAGTAGACAATCTTGTCCAATTGTTCTGTTGTGTGACCATCCACTTTGATGTTGACTCTTCACAACCATGGTTTTTGTCTTCTTTATATTAATGTTCAACCCATACTCTAAACTTCTCCTACTCACTAAGTCCATTATTCTTTGTAATGCTTCATTTTTGAGGTTATCTCCTCCTGAGAAACATATTGTGTGATCCTTCCTATCTGTCTGTCCCAATTCTGGCCATCTAACTTCAGCTAGACTCATCACATCTAATTCCAATCTGTCCATTTCCTGTATGCAATTATCAAGCTTACCTCCTTGATAAAGTGTTTTGATGTTCCATCTTCCCATCTTTAAGAAACGACTGCTACCAATGAATGAAACCTTCTCAGATGCTGACCTCTCAACTGAGTTTAAATCAGCCTCAACATTTTTTAGATTATCTCTGGTCAAATGTCAACAATTTAAAGTCAAAGGTCAAAATTCTAAGTGTTACAAAAGTGGCATATTTGACTAGAGTGAAAAGAGAACTTTGCAGCAATAGTTTACTTTAGTATTAAAAAAATTCATTGGTATTCTTATGCCATTGGTTTAATCTGGAATCCATTTCAGGTCAAATATTTAGTGACCTCTCACTTAAAAAATATACCACTTAGAGACATGAAACTGGGATAAATCTTATATGGCACCAACTTCTCTGCCAAGCAGCATCAAAATTAATAAACCTTTGGTTTTGAGGGTGAGTGATCTGACATGAACTAACCCATTAACTTCTTTTTTAGAATATTTTTTATATTTTTGTTTGTACCACTTGTTGCAGTTCATATGATGTATTAATGTTTGATGTATGATGGATTTTATTCCAGAAAAAAAAAGTAAAATATCGTATTTTCCCACAATAATTAGGCTTCTCAAAAAGATTCATAAATCTTTACTCCTTTCATTATGCCAGACTTGCTGGCTTTGCTTTGAGTGTGTTTTTCTTGTAAGATTTTTGCACGTAATGTTCATTTTCACACAACTCAGAAAAATCACCGTTTTGTTTTAACCATAGAAATAATCCATTTCTTAGTTACTGTATCACCATTATAAAATCATGGCTTCAAATTTTGATGGCTTGTTTCATTTACTTTGTTCCAAGTAATAATTTCATCTCCATTAAATGGTGAAAAACTATTGATACATGCATATTTTTCGTTCTATTACTGAACTGTATAATAATTGTCTTCATGCTTAAGATTTTAATAAGCAACACATTGTTTTTGGTTTTATTGAAGAAGATTTCCTGTAATTTGATTTGATTTTTATAACAGCTACAAGAAGAGGAAGCTAAGAAAAAAGAAGATGATGTAGACAGAGAACTACAAGAGCTTTTAGATGATAGTGTTTTGAAAGAATACATGCAGAAGAGAATGGAGGAAATGATGCAGCAAGTGCAAATTTGGTAGTTATATTTTACAGTGTCTTTATTATGTTGTAGTTATTAGATTTCTGAGACTGTAACTCACTTCTGCATACAGCAAAAGCTATCTTCCTCATGTGTCTGCCTATGAGCTTTGCATTCCACTAGTATTCAGGCAACTCTCACCTAATTTCATGTGTTTTATTGTGAACTGCACTGATGCATGATGACATCATAATGCAACGAAAGTCCTTTACCAGTAGCAGAGCAACACAACCTCCATGTGCAGTACTATGCACATGCACTCATGATAACTTTATTCGTTTCCTCGGCCTTGAACAACACAGAGGTGTTTGAAATTTGTTCAACTTGAATATGCTGAGATTTGCACTAGTTAACAAAACATTGGTTTTTGTTATACTTTGGACTTAGTCCTCTTTGCTTCACTTTGTTACCATGAGTTCACAACTTAATGTGACTACTACTAACTCCTGTGTGAGTGATGAAATGTCACACACAAGGACTTATTTCAACTATGGCTTCAGTATGATTGTTAACTGAGAACAATGTGATGCCCTTTATGCATGCTGGACCTTCTTTTCCATCCATTCTTCTGGCATCCCTTCTCAACTTGAAATTGAACAAGAGAAAGATAGTTGATATTCCCTCCTCACTACTGGTTGAGGAAAGTCCTCAACCTTTCACTCTTTTTCAAGACATGATCTCAATGGTATGTTCAATTCTTTCACTTTTGCCCATGTCTTATGACACTTTACATTTTTGCTTTAAAACCCTAATCCTCGTGATTATTTCATTTTTTCTCCCTCACCTGACATTAGTGTTCATGTTGACTCCTTTCTGAAACAACTTTGTACCTGTGCCTTCTTCGTTTATCTGATTCTCTTGTCTTATAACCATTTTCCCTTCCTTGATTCCTAATCTTTGGAAACTCTTTTATCTGTTTGGGGAGCAGACTCCTTGTCATCTGTTTCACTCTCCAGTGCTCAATTTTACCATATTTTTCTTATTATCCTTTGTTACCTCTCCTCTCTTCGCCCTTTTGTATGAGGTGCTTCATTGTGTTCTAAATGTATCTTCAGGGAAAGTTTATTCCCTTTTATTCACTACTATTGTTCCTCTGCTGCTGATAAAGAAAAGTATTTTTAATCTTATCATGAAAATTACTTTGCATTCACAAAAAGAAACAATGTGTAGTGTAAATTGTAAATATAGTTTTTTCATTGACACTGAAGAGCTTTGTTCCATTTTTTTTTTTTTTTTTTGGGTTTTTTAAATTTTACCTATGGGACCTTTGGAAATTAGTTTAGGACCCTTGAAAATCTCACTGGGACTCTTGAAAAAAAGTTGAGAGTCTGGGACCCTAGTGAAAACCCTGCACATACCAGTTTCTAGCTACTGGAGTAGTGGACCTTGGAGATTCCTCACCTGTTGGATACAGCACAATATTGTGAGAAGTTGGGTGGTGGTGACATTGTCAATGTAGTGCAGGTCACCCCTCAAAACCATAACTCATACCACTTGTGCCCTCCTCCTGCAGTCAGAGTCTGTTCAACATAGTTGAGGTGAGCATGCACTATACGAAATTATACCACACAAGTAAAGTATTCTACTCCTTCAGCTAGGGCCTGTTTAGTAGAATCGAAGTGAGCACACAAATTGTGGTCTAAATGCATTCCCAACCACACTACAGATATTGGCATGCCAACTGCTTGTGTGTAAGTACTCGGATGGTCATGTTCTCATTTCACCCATCCATTTCATATAAGATACACATTTGCCTCTTCTCTCATTGCATTCTGGGTGAAGAGTATACCCTGAGTGAGATGAGATGCAGTCTCCCATGGGTGTGCCCCTATGGAGCCCCTGCCATTAGGTGTCACTCTGTGGGCTTCCCTTCGGGCACATTTTGAAGGGAGCTTCCCTAGGTACAATTTTGCATCAACACCTTCACCAATTCAACATGGCTCTTCTCTGTGTTGAGGTGAGTTATTGTCTCATAAGTTAACATTTTCCTAATGTGAAAATATATTTGTGATAGATACCTCTTTTCACACATTCCTACCCAACCTCCACATTTCTGGTGCACATTTGTTGTCTTGCTTTATTAAAGAATGAAGTCATTACAAGTGCTCAGGGGGATTTACTACACATGGAGGTTGTGTAAACCTCCTATTGGTGGAGAGCTTTTTTGCATGATGACATCATCATGCACCAGCACAGATCACATTAAAAGACATGAAATTTAATGGGAATTGCTTCAAAGCTAGTGGCATGCAAGTCAGATGGGTGAGGAAGATAGCTGTTTGTGGGAATAGATGGGTAACTATCATAAATAAATTTTCAGATTACAAAAATGTTAACCTTGGAATATACAGTCTTTGTCATTTTAGCTGTATCGATAAATGAAACTTAACAATGAATATGAAGGAATTAACTTAGCAAAATTATTGCAAGAACCTTTTCCTGGTCATTTTTGCCTCCCAAGCCTTTATTGGCATGTGTACACCACTGACATTTTTATGTATAGTTCCAGGTTTTTGATAATAATTTTAAAATTGTCATATAACTGACAGACTCTTAACTAAATAAATGTACTGGTTTATTACATAAATAGAAAAGGCAACTGTTTAGATTATGCATACTCACTTTCTAACAAATTTGCAGTGTTTAGATATTGTGTTAATAATAATATCTGTTTGAGGCTCTTGTAGCACAGTTGTTGAATTTGTACATCAGGGCAATAATATTAAAGGATCTCAAGTTCATGTCCCTTGTTTAGGCATATTTCTTTACCTTCACCTTTATGAGTTTGATGCTGTTTAACAGGGATGTTGGATTTTTCCAAGTCATGTGTGTTAAGTATTAAAAAATAATTTGAGAGCCTGTAAATTATTGTATTCTTTGCACAAACTACACTTAATGTTGTTTTTCTGTCTTTCTTTCCATACATGTGTTAAAATGTAGGCCAAAGCATGGTAAACTTATAAGACTGAAAAGTGGGCAAGAATTTCTAGATGCCATAGACAAAGAGAAGTTGGGGGTGACAGTAATAATACATATTTATACTCAGGTATGTTTGTTTTATATATTGTACATTGTAGTGGCACTGTCTGTTTTAATTAATAAAAAATAATAATCCACAAACCTATGGTAGTGCTCTTTTTCTAGTTTAATATAGATTGTCTTTTACAGCAATAAAAATTGCTTTACAAAAATAAATATTGATGTACAGAGGGTAATTTTACTGGTTATAGAAATGTATGTAAAGTAGTTATTGTTTCTTTATTAATTTTGGGATAGAAATTTTCAAGTTTTCTGTGGAAACAAAACATACTCACAACAGAATACTTCAAAAGAACACCATTGGATGCTTAAAAACCACACCAAACAAAACCAATGGTCTCATTTACAAAGTGAAGGTTATAGATTATAATAGAGTAGAGCTCAGTGATTTAAGCTATTAATCAATATGATCAACTACCTATAGCATGGATTACATCAATTAGTGTCACGTAAACTAATTGATTAATTGAAATTATGATTTAACGAGTTTCAGCCCAGTTTCAGCTAACAATACTGAGAATTAAATTGTGGCGAAATGCTACAAGTTCTTCATGGTATGATAGGTTTCTTTTTTGTGAATGTAAAACACTTAAATACACAGTTTGATTTTCGATACCTTACTAATATAAACGCTTGGTTTGGTCTGATATTTCATTGCTGGTAGTGCCCAGGATCACCGAGTGGAATTCTCTGAAACTAGTCTGGCTCACAGACACACCCCCAATAAAAAAAAATAGACCATTCCAAGCTCTTACTTGTTGTTAAACAAATGTTTAAACAACTCTGTTCAATT